ACAGAAACTGCCTCACCTGGATTGGTGGAAAATGAGAGGTAGAGCTGAGTATCGTCAGCATATTGCTGACTCCTCAGCCCAAACCTCCTTATGACCTCCCCCAGCAGTTTCATGTAGATGTCAACCAGCGTGGGGGACAGTATCAAGCCCTGAGGAACCCCATGACATAAATGCCATTGGGCAGAGCAACTGTCCCCCAGCACCACCCTCTGGACACAGTCAGCCAGGAAAGAGCGGAACCACCGTAAAGTGGTGCCGAAAACTCCCAACCCAGTCAGCCTATCAAGAAGGACATCATGGTTGATGGTGTCGCAAGCCACTGAGAGGTCCAAGAATATCAACAGGGTCACACTCCCCCTGTCTCTCTCCCGGCAAAGGTCATTGTACAGGGCGACCAAGGCAGTCTCCGTACCAAATCCTGGCCTGAAACCCGATTGAAATGGATCTAGAAAATTCGTTTCATCCAGCAGCACCTGGAGTTGCCCAGCCACAACCCGCTCCAACACTTTGCCCAAGTAAGGGTGGTTTGCTACTGGTCAGTAGTTAACCACCAGCCTTGGGTCCAGGTTAGACTTTTTAAGGAGTGGATGAATTACCACCTCTTTCAAGGTGGTAGGGACCACTCCCTCTCTCAAAGAGGCATGCATAGCCTCCTGGACCCAAGTGTGAATCCCCTTGGCAGATCTTCCAATTAGCCAAGATGGGCAAGGAGCGAGTGGAGTGGTGGTAGAATGGACAGATCCAAGCACCCTGTCCACATCCTCAGGTCTCAACAATTGAAACTCATCCATTAATACTTGACCTAAGCATGGCACACTGGACACATCCTCTGATTCTGCAGTAACGGTGGAGTCCAACCCACTGCGAATCTGAGTGATTTTCCCCTCAAAATGAACAGCAAACTCATCACAGCGAGCTGATGAGCAGTTTGGGACCTCCAGCAGATTTCCCGATTGAAGAAGATCCTAGATCACCCGAAACAGCTCTGCTGGACGACATTCTGAGGAAGCAATACAGCTAGAGAAATATTGCCATTTCGCCATGATTGCCACGAAATAGGCCCGATAATGGGCTCTAAGTCATTTTCGATTGGACTCCCAGTGGGATTTCCTCCACCTGCACTCCAGCCGTCTCCCTCTCACTTCATTGCCCGCAGTTCAAAAGTATACAGTGGACCCTCGACTTACAGATGGCTCCACTTACAGACTTTTCAAGTTACAGACTTCTCTGGCCACAAAATTTAGGTTCGGCTTGCAGCCGGAGAATCGACCTACAGACCAGAAAAAAATGGATCAAAAATGGCCGGTTACAGAGTAATCGGTTTTCAGTGCATTGTAGGTCAATGGAGCCTCGACCTGCAGACTCTTCGACCTGCAGCCACCATTCCAATACAGATTAATTCCGTAAGTTGAGAGTTCACTGTACCAAGGAGCTGTCTGGGCTCTGTGTGCAGGGAGAGGGTGCTTAGGCGCAATCGTATCAACTGCCCGGGTCATCTCCCTATTCCATAAAGTGACCTGAGCTTCGACAGGAGCGCAGACCATATCAGACAGATAATCCCCCAGAGCATTCAGGAAACCATCTGGATCCATTAGTCTCCGAGGGCAGATCATCTTAGCTAATAGACTAAACTTGACCAGGAAGTGGTCTGACCATGACAATGGGGTCACAACCAGCCGCTCCACATCCAAACCACCACCTTCTAGTCCCGTTGAGAAAACCAGGTCCAAGGTATGGCCCTTCTCATGTGTCGAGCCGATGACACATTGAGAGAGCCCCATGGTTGTCATGGCGGCCATGAAGTCCTGAGCCACCCCAGTCAAGGCAGCCTCGGCATGAATTTTGAGGTCCCCCAGCACCAACAGCCTGGAAGTCCTTAACACCAGGTCTGAGACTACCTCCGTCAGCTCAGGCAGGGAGACTGTTGGTATGCAGCAGGTTGGGTGGTACACCAACACAATCCCTAATCTGTCTCACAAGCCCAACAGACTGTCTCGCAAGCCCAACACACAATACACGCCCTCAAGACCTCCTCTCAAAGGGATAGGAAGCCTGGTCAAGGAGATAGAACTCCTATAGACTATAGCAACCCCCCCTCCCCGACCCTCCAAGTGACATTGGTGCTGGACCGAGTACCCAGGCAGACACAGCTGGGAGAGGGGAACGCCACCCTCCTCTCCCACCCAGGTCTCAGTCATGCACACCAGGTCAGCACCCTCACCCAGAATTGCAACATGGATGAGGGCAGTCTTATTTTGTACTGACCTGGCATTCATCAACAGCACTGTGTGGCTCAAGGGTTTGCTGATATGGTCTCCCGATACCATCTGATTGGGGTTAGGACTAGAAGAGGGGAGAGATGTAAGATATCTAACTTCTCTTCTCCTACGTGGGCATGTTCTACCCCCACCGCCATTGCTTCCCCTACCCAGAACCACCTCAAGGGCTGCCCCCTCCAACGCCCTCCCCCTTCCTGTTCCCTCAAATCCACTGTGGGTCTCTCTTAATTGATGACAATTAATAATCACATTTTAAAAATAAATAAAAAATAAAACCCTTCTAAAGCCCCTTCTCTCCCCCCCCCGCCAGCCATGTGGCTGATGTTGAGAGGGGGTGAGGTAGCCAGGACAAGCAGGTCCCAGTCCTGCAAAAGCAGAGGGAGACTGAGCCAGCTCCCTTGGAAAGGAGTTGGCAGCCGGCAGGAGCCCAACCACAGTCCCCCTGTCTCTTACACAATGAGCTGTGGCCGGCAGAGAGTCTTCATCTCCCCAGAGTGCAGGAACGCTGGTCCAAATTACATATTAGACCTCCTAGTGACCTTGTTTAGCACTCCAACCCATCTATATAAATGACTCTTCTGCTGATGCTAGTATTGTTGGAAAATTGGTTAAACACTGTGAGGAGAAGCAGTGCCTCCTCATTAAGAGCACCTATCCTCAGAAACCTGCTTCTCATGGGAGCCTAACAACCCCCCTCATTTCTAGTTTCTAGACAGATGAACAAATGTGTGTCTTTGACTTAGCCAAATTATGTTAAAATGAAGATGCATAAAATTAATATATCGGCACACAAGCCAGGGCAGTTCAGGAAGAAGGAAGAAGGCAGTCAGAAAGGAGAAGGGTGTTGTAAGCTGGCATGTCAGTGCAGTTCCAGCCAACTTGAGCTTTCTTTGCAGTTGAAAATGCTCCTGATTTTCATTGACATTTGAACAATGAACCCAAAAGATCTTTTGCAGGCAACAAATCTGTCCTCCACCATTAAAGTTAATAGATGTGGACACATGGAAAGGAAATAAGAGGCTCACAGGCAGGATTTGTGGTGACCTGTGTCCTTTGAATCAACTCTGGCTGTTTCATTCTGTGCTTACTATCTGGGGGGGGGGGAACCCAACATTCTGCAGTCAAGTCCTTTTACTGGTGGAAAGGAATTGTCTCCATTCTTGTTACAGTTTCCACAATCACTGCGCAATACCTCCACCAACATTTACCTTCCAATACACAAGTGGAAACAGTCCTTTTGAAGGCATTAGCAGCACATCTCAGTGGTGGTGTCCTGTTGAACTATTGAGCTGCAGCTATACCAGCATGAATATCTCTGTGTGTGCACAGTATGTTTGTACAGACATGTCTGCGTGCAGCACACACACACACACACACACACACACACACACACACACACACACACACGTTTTGTGTGCTGTGGAACAAAAAGTTTTAAATTATCCTCTGTCATGTTCATCTGGAGTTATAGAAATTTTCTTAACATTTAAAATGGGGGGAGCAGTATATAGTTCTGTGATAATTCCTTTTATGGTATTCAAAGTGAGGAAAAGAGGATTTGAAAAACTGATAATAGCAGTCAGCCTTCTTTTTCTTTCTCCTCAGGTCTTATTTTGATTCTCATTTAATTATCATAATTTAAACATTGTTTTATTCATGATCAAGCAAAGGCATCTGAGCAGCTTTCAGCCTACAATATGAAAATTTGCAATAAATTTTGAAAATATCTTCCGCTCTTGCTCCTCAGTGTCATACAATAGTCTTCATTAGAGGTGGGCACGAACCGCTGCTTTGGTGGTTCATGCAGGTTCAGTTGGCAGCGACACAGCTATTCCATGGGCTGGTGTCATGCCCCCTCCAGCTGGCACCCCCTCAGAAGGAGCGCCGTTTTTCCTATAGTTGGTTTTGCTGCAGTCAAAAGAAGGCCTATTAAAGTTTTGTATGAAATAGATTCCTTTTTCTCCAGAGAAAGAGTAAGAAGTGCTAATTCTGGAGATTTATCGATCGACTGGTTTGTAATTTTATTTATTTCATTAAACACTTCTTCTCAAAATTGGTCTAGCTTTTTGCAATACCACCAAAGGTGCTGAAAAAATCCCTTACACTTAGAGCCTCTCCAACACATTGGTGACATTGCTGGATTAATATGTGAAAGCCAAAGTGGGGTCAAATACCATTTTTGGAGTATTTTCAATGCAGCCTCCCTGGCTGTGATAGAGACACCTTTGTATGGGAATTTTGTAAAACATTCCTGACCATTTCTCTTCATTGATTTTAGTATTCCAATCATGTTCCCATATCTTCCACAACCCTGCTGATGATCCTTGATCTATCTCAATCAGCAACAAAAAAAAGTCTTCATACTGCTCCTTTATTTGTTTCAGCTAGAGAGAGAAGATTTTCAAAAGAAATGAGGCATCTTGTGGCTTGTTTCACAGTGTTGGCCTGTCTAATAAAATTACTTATTTGATACCAGGTTAGCCATGATATGCCCCCCTCTCTGAAATGGTCCCTCCAAAAATCCCTAAGAAGAGGTTGTTGATTGGTATAAAACTGCATTAACCTAATAAGACCAATCTTTTCAAAAACTGTGGGAGTTAAATATCTCGTGATCTGCGAGAGACCTGGAAGATCCTCCTATTTTTAGGGCCAGAAAAGATAAGGTAATGTGAATGTCTTCTGAAACTCTGGAATCACTTCATTTTTTTTCATGTGTTGCAGAAAGTCCTGGCCTCCAGAGCCACATTCTTGTTGGAATCAGAATTCTTGATGTCAATGATAACCCTCCAGAGCTGGCTGAAGACTATGATGTGGTTGTCTGTGAGAATGCAAAACCGAACCAGGTAATCTGCTAATCACATTCTTAATGTAAAAGCAGTTCAGTTACAATTATTATTGTTTCAGAGAGAAAAATCTGTATTTTATACCTTTGCATGCACACATGAACGCACAGAGATAGTTTCAGAGAGAAAAATCTGTATTTTATACACATGAACGCACACAGATCTATAATTGTCACCTTGAGTAGAACATATTTTTATTCAGAGCAGCTGAGGAAATTAAAAGCTGAAATGTCATGCTGTAATATTAAAATATTTTAATCACTTCAGGATAAACAAATAAAGATATAGATAGAAGCATGTGATTAGTAACAGTTGTGTGCTGTCACATCAGTTCTGATATATGGTTACTCTTCTCTGGGTTTTCTAAGTATAGAGGACCTAAAAATGGTTTAACATCCTCTTTTTCTGAATGTGCTCTGGGCTGTGCAGCTTGTCCAAGGCCACAGGAGGCACAGTGGGGGATCGAACTCTTGACTTATGGTTCTGCAGACAGTTTCTCCAAATCAGTGAGCTATCTAGCCAGCATCTAGAAGCATAGATATAGGTAAATAAATACATTTATCTGTATACACATGCATGCACACACATCCAAATTCCACTCACTCTTCATCCCGGAAAAAGAAGCATAGATATAGGTAAATAAATACATTTGTCTGTACATGCACATGCACGCACACACATCCAAATTCCACTCACTGTTCATCCCGGAAAAAAAAAGCTTGCAGGACAGTTGACCATTAAAAAAAGAAGAAGAGTACTAATAACACAGTGAAACAAGAACAACGCAATCAAAATCAAATGAGAGGTATAAACATTAGCAGCATAAAAACTTTCAGCATACAAAGATTTTCTTAAAGAATGTATACAATCCAGTATCCTTATTCTCCTCAGTAAGGGCCTGGCAAGGAAGCTACCACAGTGGAACAAACTTTACTTCTCATACTTACCAGTATAGATTCTTCATCTGGCTATTGTATTTATCATTCAACTGGAAGTGTAAAACTATGCTCCCTTTCAGTCATCATGATGCTAGGACAGATCAGGTATCGGGGAAGAATTAATCATAGACTCCATGTAGGAACAAAACTTTTTACATTCTTACATCCCGTCATATGATTGGAGAACTGGGCTGTGGTGTGCCACACACTGACCACCTGTCATTTTTGCACAATACATCGGTAATATGCCCTTTCCACAACAGATTCTTCTTCTCTATCACTGTTACATCATTTTTGTTGTTAAAAGGGGGCAGGTACAGTTCACACCTCAAAGCAGACAAGAAGCTGCTATATGGAACTTAAACTCTTGCCCTGAATCATGTGATGGAAGAGAAATTGTTAGTATAATAGCCAGTATTGTATCTGGAGCATAAGAAAAATCATGTAAGTGTTCCCCTGTTCCTGCAGCCTCCCTGGTCAGGCACCTACTCATGCAATGAGTTGTGCATTCATCAGAAAGGTGGACATGCAAAGGGGAAGAAATGCTTAATTGATTACTCTTCAGTTATTACATAATCCATCAGAGTACAGATCAAAAGATTTAATAAGTGTGCAGTTTTGAAATGTTTTTCATGAAGTTTTAAGTTGTCTTGAGCCTTTTCACTAGTTTCAGTGAAAAGGCAGAATAAAAATGCACTGCATAATAGAGAGTATCCCAAACTTTTAAAGAAGTTGCTCTCTTTAATTTGGAATGTTAGAATTCAAATTATTTCATTAGCGATATCACAGTAATATTTATGCCAGAATTCTTTGAGGTAATGCAAATGTAATAGCCTGACTTCATTTTCACTCATTTCATAATTCCCTTTAATTAATTCCCTGAGTGTAACAGATTGAGAATTCTTCAGACTGCAGCCTGAACCTCATGTTTCTCTGAGATGGTGGAAAAAATAGAACTACAAGCCCCAAAATATCTCTGCCAAAATGCCCACTGAACAAGGAAACAGCCTGGATGCCAAATTCCTCTTTCTCAGTCGTATAGGTTGTCTTGGCACACCAAGACACCTCAAACAAGGAATTTTAAAGCCCATAAGATTCTTTGCCCCAAACTGAGAGCAAGACAAATGCCCCCCCCTGCATTTGTAACTTGCATAAAATGTCTGCATTGTTTCATTAGGAAGGAAAACATACATATGCATATACACAGTGAGTATAAAGAACTGGCTAATTGTTGAGAAACATGCACACAACCCACCCAGTGCTTCAGACATTTAAACAAAGCAGCAGCAATCCTAGTTTGGGAAAGTTTGTGCAATTCACAAGGTTTGTGCAATTAGGCAAATCTTGCCCTCTGGGGCCAAAATGAGCAAATTTTGTTCCTAGAGGAACAATTTTACAAAAAGGTGTTTTTGCTGATACAGAATTGCCAAGAAATTCATGTTCTAGGGAACAACTAATATTTTTGTTTTCAGAATTGGAATGGGAACTGTGTAGTTCGATATGCTACTATGAAAACACTGGGACTATTCATAATGAATGCATGTGGTCTTAGATGTGTAGGTTTTAAATTGTAAGCCAGCAACCTGCAGAGGTGGAGATTTTATTCTCTCAAGACTTACGTTTTATTTCCTGGTGCTGAAATGGTATCTTAGAACAGTTTGTCTCCATACATGTATGGGACAAAACAAACTGCATAGATGCTGTGCCTTTGCTTATTCTGCAGTTCCGCAGTGAGTTACAATCAGGGAAAAAAGCATAAACACCAATGTGACTCTCTTTCTGATTTAATAGTTGTGCCAGGAAAATGCATATATAGGGAGAAACTATTCCTGTCAACTGCAATCGCACTGAATCAACTATGTTGGCTCTAGTGCAGTGATTCTTATGAGTGCCATTGCAGCATTAGTATGAAAGTACTATTCATTTAAGTGGGAAGGCTGTACTTTCCTTCCTTATCCAATGCCCCAAATTTGTCTGGTACAGTCGTGCCTCGCTTTATGATTGCCCCGCATTACAAAACTGCATTACGATGATCTTTTTGCAATCATAATTGTGATTGCAAAATGATGGTCTAATGGGTTTTTTTCGCTTTGCGATGATCGGTTCCCTGCTTCGGGAATTGATTCTTCGCAAAACGAAAATTTTAAAACAGCTGATTGGCCGTTTCAAAATGGCCACCGGGTAAACAAAATGGCTCCCTGCTGTTTTCTGGGATGGATTCCTCATAAGACAGGCAGCGAAAAAGGCTGCCCTATGGAGGATCTTCGCTGGATGGTGAGTTTTGACCCCATTGGAATGCATTGAAGGGGTTTCAATGCGTTTCAATGGGGTTTTTTGGCTTTATGATGTTTTCGCTTAACGGCGATTTAGGCACCACTGTACACGAAATGCTAACTGCTAGAATTGAATCCTATGGTTTTCATTGCACACAAAGGTGTTCAATATGATAATTCAGTAAAACTATTGTGGCCTCTTCCCAGATTCCTCAGATATTTTACTGAAACACACAAATATATTTCAATGTGAAAATTGCACACTTATGAGCTGATACATTCATAGGTGCATCATGACAACAGCTGTGAATACTTATTATGAAAGAAAGCTGAGATGATGTGATCTTGCTGATGTCTGTCAATATTTAGTTTCCAGTTCAGAGTCCATCACATCCACTATTCCATTTTCTTTCCAGGTTATTCAGACAATCACTGCAACTGACAAAGATGATTTTATAGATGGACAAACATTCCATTTTTCTCTGGATGACAGTTTTCCATTGAATCCCAACTTCACACTAAAGGACAATGAAGGTAACTAAAATACATTGCTGTAAGGCCAGGGAGGGTTCTGTGTTTGGGATGTCTCATAGAACACAATATCTGATGAGATGCAGGTGATGGGTATAAATAGGGCCACACTGTATTATGTCAGCATGCCATAACTTATGGCTTAGAAACCAGGGGCCTGCGGTAGTGTGGTATCAGGTTTGGTGCCAAAGTTCTCACAGGAGCCCCTCACCAACCTATATGGGCGAGTCCCACACCCCGTTGTCATGCTATCACTAAGACAGCATGACCCCGGCCAGCAAAATATCAAGCCCCCACCCCAGGCATGCAAGCCCCCTTAGTTTGGCAGCCCTCAGTCCAGGGACGGCCCCAGCAGGTCTTTCTTCCCAGCACCGTAACCTCACAATCTGCAGCGCCAAAAGTTTAGACCTGCTATGCACTGTTTGAACTTAATGGTTCAAACGATTCAATTTCCTTCCGCACTACCTGACGTGTGACCAAACATGAGAACAATTTAATAGCAATGGAACTTGTGGGTGGTCATGGAACAAAGGAAGGCTAATTGTCTTAGGGAAAGAACAAAGGAGTCGACAGCACAGATGTCCGAGCCATCAGAGCCTACGGGCAAAGCCCTGAGAGCTCTTTTATTTACTTAGCATGATCATATAGTATGTTCATCCTGTTCAGATAGGATACTAGTTACCTAGTTACCTAATCGTAATCAGGATTGGCTAAAATAACCCTTTGATCTTATGCTCTACCTCTAAGCGAAAGGGCAAAATAAGGGGTTACCCCGCCTGCTGGCAGCTGCAGCTTCCTGCCAGGAGTTCATGCACGTCACTGGAACAGAATGCAGCGACAACCTTCAAGCTGAAGATTCCCACAGGAACTATATTAACCACATGCCAGTGTGGGATAGCCAAAAAAATCCCTATGACTATTTCAACCAATTGAGTAGCGGTTCAAAAATTCCTATCCGGCTCCCAATAGGACAACCAGTCAGACTCACACTGGATATTGTGCGAGCAGATAGGACGCAAGTACTGCTTGAACTCCATGGGCACTCACTGATTCAGTTTCCTTCTGCACTACCCGCCATGGAATGGGCAAGCTTACAATGCTCCATTGCCCCCATAGAGCCAAAAATGTTGGCACGCAGGCTCCCTATCCCTCAAGAAAATCTCTAAACCAGCCTCAGATAAATGAACCCATCACCTCTATAAAGCTCCGGTCGGTCCAATCGGATCTCTGAGTATCCTATTACTAATCTTAAGCCACTAACCATTGCTCTGCAAACTTCCTTATTAACTTTCCTACATGCTCTATTTAATCAACTAGCATTGCAGTCTGCTTTCCAACTATGCCGAGGAATAATCGTAGACCAAATTATTCTTGAAAATAGGAACTTTGCCTTCCAGGTCCTCAAATCAGCCAGAATGTCCAGCACAGGGGATTTGCAGTTCCCCTGCCCAAGTATTTACCTCCCAGATGAACGAACAACACACCTGGGGGTACACCAGCTGCCACTGCATGTGCTATGACCCTCTGACCCAGCAACAGGATCCCCAGTGGCCATTTGGGTCACTCTGCATCTGAAAGAAAGAGACAAAGAGCCCGGCAGCAGCCTACAGCTGTGGCAAGTCCCACACATAAAGTTTGTATCTATGGGAGGACCATCTCTCCACCTTCCTGCCCTCCTCTGGGCCATACCCTAGCATGGCGGCAGTAGATGCTGCCCCAGTGCAAAATGAGTGGGTTCCAAAGCACCATCCAGCCAAACCCACTTGTTCCAAAGCAGCTCCAGTTACCTCCCAAAATTGGTATTTTGTCAATGGGGTGCCGTCACTGTGACAAAATAAGTAGCCCTGATCTTCTCCCCTTTCCTTAAGGTAATCCTCTAGTGCCCTAACTGGGAATATTTCTAAAATGGAGCAAGTCCCTCGTGATATAAAGGCTCCTTTCCCTAATTGATCTGTTTTAGCTCTCCGGATATGTAATTGTAGCCTGTCTTTGCCCATTGTGACATCTGCAAGTTAGAACGTCATTTGTGACGTGTCATGCTTGCCAGCTGCCACAACCTCACTAATATGAAATGCTAAAAAAAGTCAAAAGTGTTGCTGCCTGAAAGAGGGAAGCCTCGTACATCTCACTACAAATGCTGCCCCATGATTCACCAAACCTCACCAGTATGGCTGGAGAAAAAGGGGACCTTTCATTGGGCATTCTAATTCTTTCCATATTCCATCCTTCAATCATCTTATGAATTCTAAAGTCCCCCGTGGAATCAGCTACTCCAAGGGGCTTAGCCTGGAATGCCAACACTGACATCTTATCCTGAATAGAGCTAGGTGCCATGCCCTTTCGAAAAAAGAAAAACGCTAAATTGTTGTAGATGATCAATTGATATAGGCCACAAAAAGAAAATCCTTTGCACCACAAAAAAGAAAATCATCTAAATAATGGACCATGCAAGCCTCGAAAGAGGCTGAGCTCCCCCCGGGTAACTGTGAGAATAGCGTGTCTTGCGCTATCCCGAAGGGAGGGCAAAGGAGCTCCGCTCGGCGACAAGCACAGGCAGAGCTGACATTCTCAAACCAAAGACAGAATGATAAGGAAAAAGCAAAATAGGTGCATTATGTTACATTTGTTACATTTTACATACTTTAATAGAACATTAAACAGTGAAATGTGGCATTAACTCACTTTCAATATAAAAATCTACTCACTAAAGTGGCAATTTTATAATAGTACCTAATAATAATTTATGATGATTGACAAAACATGTTTGAATGTTGCATTTTAAGATCCAGCTTCTGTTGACATTTGCTACATCTCCAAATAAGGGTATGAATATATAACCCCCCTCCAGTTGCAATGAATGGTTTTTTTTTCCATTATTGCTTGCCCTTTGAAAGGGTTTTGAGAGATCTGATGGGGCTGCAGGATTCATTGAGAAGCACCAGCCTTTCTCCCATCCATCATCACTTTCATCATTTGAAAGTAATTATCTGAAGAGAAAGAGAGACTGCTATCCATGAAGCCTTGCTACATGGGCCAAAACTTCTAAAAAATGGGGTTTTGGCTCACAGGAAAAGCCTGCCTGGATAGATTTCCCAGATAATTGTTTTTGCATAATAAAAGCAATGATAGAGGATGTGAGGTTGTGCATCATGTGTAGATTCTGTCATGATCAAATAGGGCTTACATGGTATCTGACTGTGTTTTTTCATTAGTAGAATAGACATTACGGAGAGAACAGACTGCCAATCCCTCTTGCATTCTCCACTCCCCATACCCCAAATCTCTTCCAGAAGATTAGAAAACCTCTAAAGCAGGTTTGAGAAGAAACAGGGATGTAGCGGGATAGAAAAGAAAGGGATGTTCCATTGAATCATAGAAAGCTGCTTCAGCCATATGGGATGTTCCCTGCTGGGCACAATTTTGTGCATTTTCAGATATGTATGTTGATTGATGTTCTAAAAATATGTGTGAGATTTTAATTTTTTGAAAAATGACACAAACTTGCACAAAACCCTAAACACTAAATATGAACGCACATCACTCATGAAGGATGCTGTAGCCATTCTGGTGACATTTATGATTAAAGACGGGAGATTATATTTATGCTTGGATCTTGTGTGTGTTCCAGGTTTGTTTGTTCTGGTGAGTCTTGCCCGTTGAAGGTTCAGTCTGTCTTTCTGTGGCCGCACAGTCAGAACCAATTAGCCATTAACAATCCCAGTGAAATTCCTTATGACAGGGCGGGGAGATGGCATGATACAAGAGCAGTATACAAGGAAAAATGCAAGAGTCTTTTGGTTCTTTTAAGACTAAAACATTTATTTTAGCAAGCATGTTTGGAGTGTACAATATACTCCTCCAGAGTACACTGTTCAGGCTGTCTGCACTGAGAGCAGGGATGATTAAATGCTTTGGAAGAAAAATGGGTGGGGAGAATTCACAAAGGCAGCTGAGGAATTTCTTACTCTTTTGGAAATACACTGCAACTGGCTGTGTTGCCATTTGGTTTAGCACATGAAGTGCTGCTATAGCAGTGTTCCATTAGCCAGAGAGGTTGAGGGATGAAAAAAATAGAAGGAAATCTCCCTTCCACTGTCACCAGAAAAGACGTATATCTATATTCCACCTATCCTCCAAAACATCTCAATATTTAAATAAATGCATAGATAAATAAACAGCAGCAGCAACAACGTGACAGCAGTATCTGGTTCTCACAGAAAAGGAAGGGTGTGTTTTAATGCTCTTGTTTTTCTTTTACAATCTCGCCAAAGTCCTTCAGTACCTTGATGAGCAAAAGAAGTTCCAATTGTTTTAAATGTTCCCAACCATTTTCAGAAATTAACGAATAAACAAGCATAGCAATACTAGAAGAACGTTGTGAAAAGAGTAGCAGACTTGCCTGGGGAAAAAAGTTGTCTCCGGATCATTAATGAGCAAAACAGTGAGTTGAATCAAAATATATGTTTGCAGAAGGAGGAGACAGAAGCTAACTTTCCCACACTGTTTTCCATCAGCCCTTAGAGTCTACTAGAAATTCTCCCTTGTTGGGAATTTCTTGAGTGGAGTGGGTTGTGAGGAGAAGGGCTGACTTGGTGAATGAGACATCTCTTGTCCTACTCAAGGAAATGTTGTGGCCTATCTTTCAAGAACTTGCTTTTCCTCATCATCCACCCAACAAGCTACAATCTACTCCACTCAGCAGCATGTCCTGAAAATATTTTTTTTGGAATGGCTTTGGAGTCTCTTGGAAATAAGAAAAGATGTGAGGGTCTTTTTTTCCCCACATGCCTAATTCTGTGGATTGATACCTTCTGTACCTGTGGATCCAACCTAATATTTCTCACTCTTATAAATGCAGGTAAAAAAATGGGCAAGAGAAATTACCAGCTCTCAGTTGAGCAAATGTTACACAAACAAATGTGAAGATATACATCTCTGTGTGTACATCTTTAATCACAATGTCTTTGAAAGCTGAAACCAGTTAAACACCTAACACAAGCAGA